TAGGCGTTTCCATCATGGCAGCCAGAGGAGCGGTAGAGGCAGCAAATGGACAGTGCAGGTATGCTGATGTCTGCGTTGCCTTTTCTTTCATCACCTTCCACTGAACATGAAACATAAACAAACACACACCATAATATATCTCAATCTTAATCTGTACAGGTCATGGAATATGAAAACCGGGACCTGTTTGCTGTCCTGAACAACTTAGACAGAAAGAAGGCCATGATGGGACCCAATTCAGCACAAAGAAGAGCAAACTTGCAAGGTTTGTCAGATATAGTATATAATTGAAACTGTACCAAAGCTCATATGATTGTAATATAGCAGCCACACTTTGTTTCAGCCTTCATCTATTCTAGTTCTGTTCCATCAAACCTTGTTTACTTGACCCATCTATACTGGCTTCTAGCTCTGTGCTGTAAATTTCACTGAGAAATCCGTATGAAGTAAGATTGTAATACTCTATACGAAGTAAAATAACAACAACTAAATTTCAACTTTTTTGACAGATGATCAGCAGACAGAGGGGCAAGATGATCAGCAGACAGAGGAGGAGGAAATTGTACAGGAAAGGGAGGATGGATATGAAGAGGAGGAAATTTTTCGAGGAGGATGATGACGAGGATGCATAATGCTTCTTTATATTCTCTATATTGTAAAAAAGAGCCTAATGTTGTGCTATATATATATATATATGCATGTGTGTGTGTGTGATATATGTGTATTTTCAATGTTTCACTCTAGTATTCATTTATGACTGTGATCTCCTCTCCTCTAAACTGTTGTGCTTACCTGTACATAGAGACATAGCTCGTACCTTTTTGGGTGGATTGTGTTCACAACTTCCCTTCTCAGAGAAAGGGTCAGCCATCCTTCGTCCAGATGCTGCGTCTCCTGTAAATATGTGTAGAAAAATGCAATTTGATGGATTGACTTGCAATTTAGTGTTTGTTCTTGCATTTGTGCAAAAAAGCAACAGTGCTTTACAATAGATATTTTCTTCTAGTATTGTTTCTGTTGTAAATAGCAAGCTATACCTTTGGGCAGCACTGTGATGGCCGAAGTCTCTCTGCGCGCTTGTGTGTGCACCTGGGGCATTCAGAATGGTCATATCTGACCACAGGCCTGTAGCCCCAGGTGACACGGACCTCTGTCACCAAGATGAGAGAGGATGACTTGAGCGGTTTCCGGTGCCATCCTCTGCCAAGCACTGCGATGAGCTCAGTTGGGTGGCAAGAGAATGTCTCTGGCTGTCCTGAGGGACCTGCCACCCAACCAATAATGTTCAGCGAACGAAAATGCTGAAAAAGTAAAATGCAATATTATGAGAATTGTAGTAGTGTATCATTCTTGTTATGTCAGATAATATTTCAACAATATCAGTGATGTAAACATGTGTTCTTAGTATGTACCTTGTCGAACTCTGTACGTGGGAAGGGGATGGTCAGGCTGGCCTTGGTGTTATATTGTCCAGCCTTGTGACTGCCCTCCCCTAGGGCAGTGAGGATGGCAGTTTTCAAGTACTGAATTGTACTTGAGTCCTCCTGAGTTCCCCCCCTGCCCAGAGCAGTGGCCTCCCTGTAGTGATGCAGGTAGGCCTCCAACTCTGGGTTCTCCTGGAGGGGGACCCAGGAGTGCTGCTGGCCAGGCCAACTCCCTGCCCATTTCACCTTCACCTGTAAATTGAAAGAAACATTATTATGTACAATGTATAGTGAAAGTTCCTTGTAATTACAATGGTTGATCATGTGTCAGTCAGATATGGCAAAGATTTCTTTATTAAGGTGACACTAAATTAGAAATGCATAAAGCTGCAAATTTACCGGGTCAACTTGAAGTATATGTTTTACGGCTACCAGTACATATTTCTTACTTGTCATAAGATGGTGAAGCTATAAGAATATATATAGATTACTACATACAGGGTACTAACTCTATATACTCTGGATAAAGATGACTGACATGCTCCTATCCCACATTGTGCCCACAAACAACTAAATTAGAATCAAAAACATACCACTATACTAGTGTAGTTTATCACTCCCTCAGTATATGAGGTTTGTATTTTTAAAGATGTTTTCAGAGATTCTTGTATCAGGAATACTCCAATTAGTAAACAACATAGAGTGAAACCTACCCAAGTTTCGCCTCTTCGTTTCTCCTCGGCAACTACATCTTCCACATTGTATAGTTTGGGTGGCTTTCTCCTAGCTCGCCTTAAAATCTTGCCAAACTCTTTTTCCCCCCAAAAGTCCTCCCCAAATGGAAATGTTGCCATTACTCTGTGTAGTGAGGTCAACTTGAGTTCGTCTCGTCTCTCAAGTAACGGGATACACGTGCGCGCAGGGTGACCTAATAGGGGTGACTCTGGAGGACACAGGTTGTCAGTCACCATGGTCCCTGAAGCCAGCTTAGGCCAAACCCTCATTACCGTATATGGTATTCCCGGGCAAGGACGTCATGTATGAAATTAGCTTCCTTGGGCCGGCGGTACTGGGGTTACTGGGCCGGTGGATCATAGTGCCAATAAATTTTATTACCTTCACACAGAAGGTTACGTTTTAGCGTTCGTGTTTGTGTATTTGTGTGTGTGTGTGTGTGTGTGTGTGTGTGTGTGCGCGTGTTGTGTGTGTGTGTGTGTGTGTGTGTGTGTGTGTGTGTATTTGTGTATTTGTATTTGTATGTGTATGCCACTGTGTGTAACAATAACTTAAGGACTTTTGATGGATTATCTTGATTTTTGGTAGATGGGTAGGTCTTGAGGACACCTCAAAATGATATATGTTTTGTCCCCTTGCGGCTTGTTATGGTACTACAACGGAACTTCCGGTTTTTGATATCTGATGATCTGGACATGCTAGGGTCACACATTTTGGATGGTAGCTTCAAGTGTAATCGATCGGGAAGAAGTGAGTTTGGATCTACCCGTTTGTTCTGGAACTGCAGGGAGTTACTTTCGTTAATATTTGGGGGAGGGTAACTCAAGAATAGGTTGATAGATCGCGTAGTGATTTTGGTTTGAAGGTAGCTTGACATAATTAGATTACAACTCAACTATGCCCATCAGGATCTAATTTCCAAATTATTGAGAAAATTCTATAAATCTGCTGCGTTCCATGATAGAACTATTCAAAACCTGTGACAAATGTAATTAGGAACTAGAGAAACATCGGTAAATAGTGATTATGTAAATGAAGACCTAATTTGCATTTGGAATTAAGTTGGAATTTGGTTATTTGCATAATCATCGAGAGACGTTTATAATTCTTCAGCGGTATAATTTACCATCATTTGGCGAAGGTATGAGATCGCGGCACTCTAGTTTTGATCATTTTTCTGTAAGTTTCCATCACAACAACAAATATGTTATTTGATCACCACTTCCCGGAAGTCTGAAATCTCAGATTTTTTTGTTACTAGTAGTTTAGTTATTGGCGACGCCCCAGGGGCGGACTCATTTATTAGACTATGCTGTTCAGCATGCTGTCCCTGATATGTTTATACCCCTGGCGGATATTCCTGTTCATGAGGCCGTATATAATCGGGTTCAGCGCGCCGTTCAGAGCCATGAGTACCTGACCTACAGTAAAAGCTTCGGGTGGGACTCGGCTGGAAAATATCACCATCACTATCAAGGGCATGCTGCAGACTGTGTACACAGCGAACAGTATCATCATCATTCTGGTGATCTGCCTTTCGGCGGCGCTGTTTTGAGGACTGCTGCCCTGACCGACACGATTCTGTCCCTCAGCCGTACCTGACACAGACGGGCCGTCCTTGGTTGAAGAAACTAGCTTATTGCAAGCGCCCCCCTCCCTCCGCTCTTCTTCATCACATGATGGTGGGGTTTCCCCATGACTGTGTTCACTTGTACCTGCCTGATCTGTCAATGAGCGGATGCCCTTGGGTTCCTCTAGATCACTACACTTCTTATCCTCATCACCAAACACGGAACTCTGATCCCCCATCGAAACACTGTCTTCCATGTTTCTGGTTGAATATGTCATGGTTTTGGTGGATGCAGTCCCTACGAAAGGACCTGCTCCGTCTCTGGTACGATTAAAGCTTGCGGCCAAAGTGTTTGCGTGAGCGCCTACTCGCTTCTTACTCATCCTCACGTGGTACAGAATGAGCGCGTACGAGATTATGGTGACTATGAACGGGGCCATGAAAGAAACCACGGTTGGCAGCATCTTTCCCCATTGATTAGTAGACGCTCCCATCCCGCAGCGTTTCAGCTTTGGGTTCACCTTTACTTCTTCAACAATGTGTATAGGCAAAGCTGAAAGGAAAGGAATCAGCCATGTGAGGGAGAGCATGGAAAACAGCACACGTTTAGACTTCAGAAGTGTGCTGCTAGTACAGACCATGAAGTACCGCTGTACTGCGATACACGCCATGTGACAGCTTGATACCCCCCATAGGACTACAGTGGCATAGGCCTGAAGCCAGCACAGCGCCCCTGGCGGTTCCCAGCCGGGATGCAGGAAAGCATGGATCAAGAGAGGGGCGCCGAAGCTAGAAGAGATGATGTCTGCACAGCTGAGGCTGACCAGAGGGGCGTTGACCAGCTTCTGCAGGACTGGGCGTGTCCAGATGACGAGGATGGTGAGGAGACAGCCAATCAGAGTCGCCGCGATAATGACTGTAGGCAATGAACATCATAATTTATGATAATTTGATGACGTCATTGGTGCACATCGAAGATGGCATACCATATCATTAGCTCTTGTGGGTCCAGATTATTCTCCTTAAAATTTCATTGCTACTTCGTATTATTACATAGTTCACATAGTCAAGTCAAAGTTTATTGCACAACGATTGTCACGGGTAAAATGTATGGCAAATAATAAAGTTACTAGTTGCTATGAGTCTATTATAATTCTACATACATGTATATATGGTCAACGGTTATATTACATGAAACGTTCATATGAACGGCTTCAGTCCATTTGCATTGTATCTTAGGCTGTATCTTGAGAACTGTATTTTCAAAAATTTAACATTATGCACTCACAAACACACACGCGCACGCACCCAAACGAACGCGCGCGCGCGCGCGCACACACACACACACACACACACACACACACACACTCTGCATCGAAAACATAACCTTCTAGGCGAAGATAATTACAGACACATACTTCCCAGGATGATAACGACGACGTAGATCCATCCACTTATCTCCATTGAGACGTCTGTCCCCGTCTTCATACTGATACTGCTATTATCTGTATACAAAGAGATAAAAGGATAAAATATAAAACTTCATTATATAACATTAGGACGATGCAAAATGTCAATTTCGTGGTCATTTCTTTACAAAGTAATTTGAATCAATCCTACTTTATTAAAAGTGAATGTCATTAAGGAAGTAGAGGTGCCAAAATATGACACCCGGCCGTTACGACTGTGTTAAAAAGCTGGAAACACTAGCTGTCACACATGTTTGTTTACATTCTGGATTTTGTGGTGGTACCACAAACTGAGTACGCCTCGTGTGGGCTGTTTTAGCGCCAACCAGAAATCACTCCTTCTAATTCAAATGTACAAAATGCTGTTGCCGCTCTTTACGACTAAAGATGAGACAAATCACGGACATCATCATTGCTTTCTTCACTTGCCCACTACACTTACTATGTTTCACGAAAAATGTACCGCAACATTAGGTTTGGTTGATGACTTGGAAGAAATTATGGCCGCGGGTTGGATTTCTCCCCCAGAAAAGCGGCTGTCGCCTGCGAAACAAAAACTTTAAAAAGCAGCCTAAAACAAGTCAAAAATTAACCGAAGCCCAAACCTCTGCTTGGAGATTATAGTTGAGTAAAAAATATTATTACAAAAAAAGCCTGATAAGTAGCCAAAGCCGAAATCTCTTCTTGGAGAGTAAGGATGGCGTAAAAAAGATACGAGTACAAAAACGAACGCTTAAAACACATTCAAAATCAGCCGAAGTCTCTGCTTAGAGAGTAATATATTTGTGTTCAAAAAGATTAAAAGAAAATGTTTTACCAACCTTAAAACTCGGCTGCTGTCGGTTCAAAGTGGAGGGTAATCAGCACCTTTTGCAGGAGCTGTATTTATACATGTACTTAGAGAGGCTTTCTGCACTCGACATGGGGCAGCTAGAACCAGCAAATATCAGAGACTAGTGGCAGTCGTGGTCTGTATGTTGAACTTATGAATACAATGTCTCCAGTTATTATTTTTTTTATAAATGTTCCTTTTCATTCACGTTGTCATGACTACTTGTATATAAGTGTGAAATGACGCCCGAACACCGGAACCCAATCATACGCCACTTCAAATGATACTAAAGAAATTAAAAATACATCGTATCTCTCATATAATGCAAGGGTAATACCCATTCTGTATCTGTAGCTGTATTTGTATACCCTTCAATTCTGCACACCAGCTTAATTTTGATCCATTGTGCGTGAACCAGGCACTCAATTTTCGCTTGTTTCTCGTCCCTCAGGAAAGCAGTTTCGAAACAAATTTCTTTTCAGATGCTTAGGCCACAGCAAGTAATTTTTATGGATGACATTAGTACGCGCATTAATTTATCGCCTGAAAAATAAAAAACAAGAAATTTTGTTGCCTTCTGACAGTGGTCAACATGCCAAAAATGGGCAAAGATGTCTGCTGCCATGCCGGAAGGTGAATGGCAAATAACTATGAAGAGAGGAGACAAGACAAGGCTCTGATTTAATGTTTTGTTTCTTACTTTGATGCAGTGATATGTGATGCTGACTGTGTATATGTTATGTTCCCACTGAATAAAAACTATTTGTACAATGATTGAGTCAAAATTTAAAAATGTAGGAACCTTGTTTTTTTCGGCCCGTCTTGTTTTTTCTTCGGCCGCTCGCATTAGATTTGGAGTCTGCGGAGGATGTCATCCATAAAATTTACTTGCTGTGGCCTTATATAAAGAGTTTCTACCATCGTTGAAGTCTCTTCTTTTGTTGACGTCAATCCAAATAATAATACTTGCATGCCATGGTAACCAAGCATTTCCACTGAGGTGTTGTAAGAAACGTTACCTAAGAAATTTATCTCGATCATGGTTGATAAAATGACATCGAAATATCATGTTTGCTACAAGCTGAAACTGTCTCTGAACTTAAAAGCTTAAAATTGTATTGTTTGTATGTGATATACCCTGGCATGTTCTCTGTCTATTTCACCAATTTCTACTCAAAATGGCTACACTCATAAAGCTAAGGTCCCAATTACGCCGGTGCCCGTCGGGGATGTAGCCCCGGCCGGCCCCGGCCGGGTTCAGGAGTCGAGCTGGCATCGGCTGTCGTGGTCACAATTAAAAATTTCCTTCAGTAGCATTTTGTTAGAAATTTTGTCACCCTCTTTGGTCGGTATCCGGCAGGCACCCGGCAGGTACCCAGCAGATTCTCTGACGATGTCTTGTATTGACCTATACGTAATGCAGAATTCACGTATTTGTTGTGATCATTTGATCTGTGAGGTCACACATTTTACCCGGGTTTACGAAGTACACACCTTTATTCTGTTCATCTGGTCTGTGACGTAAGAAATGTGTCCCGGTGGAATGCCGGCAACCGGAGGGGTACCTCTCGGTGTTCTCACGATGAGGTCACGGCGTCTCTTTGTCAGCGGGGCCCGGGTAGAATTTAACTCAGAATTAAATTCTTATCGGGGCCCCGACGGGCCAAAAAATAGCCCGGTAGCCGCAGGGTGCCCCGCGGGGCCACGTCGGGGTCCCGCCCGAAAGTAGTAAATAACAGCCCGGGAACTACCCGCCAGGGCCCCTTTTCCCAATTGGGACCTTAGCTTAAGGCAGCCATCATTATATGCTTTAGAACCTGTTTTTGTCGATGAATCCATAGGTTTATAGTCCTAATAATGAGCCTTTTTATACTGTACTACGGAAATTTCCTCGGACAAAAACAAACAAAAACACCATGCAATCCGGCATAACTCAAAACAACATGAAGACACGTAATTTCTGTTACATACAGATATACCATGTACAAAATACTGAATGGACAGTCATGTCAACATTTATTGGGGGCACAAAAATATATTTTGCTGTAAATATGACTTTTCTTGATAACGCGTTATAAACATTGTCAACTCCACTCTAAGAAAAACGATTTTCCCAATCATTATAATTATCTATTTTTCACCCAGTCTTAATGTATTATTTGTACTTAATTGTTGATTCCATTGCTTGATCACAACATTAGCCTATTTGAAAATTAGCTGTTTTAATTAGGTGCAATAGTATTATGTAATTTTTATTGGCAATTTTAGGCATAAAATTGTTCATGGCATAATGCCTTTTAACTTCTATATCTACTATAAAGGTTCAGGATTATCTGGACATTACTTCTATGTTTTACAAATTGGAACAGAATGCAATGGGTACTTGTATTTACTAAGAATGATATAGCCATACCAGGTGCCACTAGTTGACTCTGATCTTCGACAAGTCGAAGTTGTATGTGTTGTTGATCAGTGAAAATGGTATACTTGGCTCCCTAGCGACGTGCTATGGTATTGCAATAAAACTTCTAGTCGCAAATTCTCGTGATTTGGGCAGAAATTTTAAATGGTAAATATCCATTGTGCTTGAGCAGAAGTGACCCCCCCCCCAGCAACTTGTTTTGAAGATGCAGAAATTGTGTTGTATCGTTTAAGGAGAATAACTCAAGAACCGTTTGGCGGGGACACCATAACTTAACTAGCTATAGAGTATAGACACCCGCGGACATTACAGAAATAAATGTGCAATTCCTAAAATTGCCCTTAAAGGCCCATTATGTAACTTTACTGTCAACAGACACCCCACTGGGAGGTAGGCCACACCACTGGCAGTGGTCAACCATATGTACGGTGTGGCCAGAGCTTTGAATAGAAGATTTTTCAGTTTTCTACCAAGCTTGTATGGAGCAAAGATGTTGCATTTTCTATTGCTGAATATCGCTCTGGAATATACTAAAGGGTAAAGTCAACTTACTATGCAAAAAAAAAACCCTGGAAAATGTACTTTTTGTATTGTCAAAAAGTTACATAATGGGCCTTTAAATGGGCATATAATATACTATTAGGCTTGCCACAAATCCTGAGGCCACCGCACAGCTACATTTTGATAAGGCCATATATTCCAGCCATGATGAATGACAGAACTAATAGTGCGATGTTAGCGGACGTGGTGACCGCCGCCCCTCGGCACCCACGCCACATGTTCCCCGCCAGCCTGGTGACGTCTGCTCCCTCAGGGAAGCCGTTGTTAGCGACGATGTCCCTGTAGACACCTGCGGACTGTTTGGCTGTTCGGGGTCTGTTGGGGTCGTTGAAGTCGACGTAGTGCAGCCCGAAGCGTTCTGTGTACCCTCGGGCCCACTCGAAGTTGTCCATCAGGGACCAGGCGGTGTAGGCTCGCACCTTTACTCCGTCCTCGGAGATAGCTGCATACATGTACATATGGGCGTTAGGCCACACCAATGCCTTCAAAAATCAACTAAAAATTAAGGTGTCCAATTATTAAAAAAAATCGTATTTCCCAAGGACTGTCGTAGAGTAGAACTCCTGGCCACCATGGAGTTAGAAGTTCTAACCCCATGCTGCATCGTTTATCTGACGAAAGTTGACGAGTTCGACCGAAAATTTACGCTGAATTATGTCCTTGTGTTAGAACAAGCTTGAACTCTTTAACAATGTATTGATAGATGGATAAACTGTAACAACTTGAAAGGCCGCGTGATGGGGCGTTCGTTAACCGTTTGGACAGAAATATGAGCATTTTGGCGTTGATTCAGAACCCGAATTTCAGAAAAACATGAAGCGGGTGAATCCGAAAAAAATCGGTATATACGTATGGCCTTAACACCTCTACATTATATATTAGTCCAATGAATTTCCGACAACAAAGCACATTATATCCAGTGATGAACACCAAACATATATCAGTACTTACCCTTCAAAACCTCGTCGATGTAGGTTATGTAGTAACAGATGCGGTTCCTGTCCTGCATGACAGGGGGCGTGACATCCCCGTCAGACCGCCCGTTCTCAGTCACCAGCACCTCGGGATCACCATAGTTCAGCTAGAAATGTTTCAACCAACATTTTAGAGATTAATGAGAAGAGATTTTTTCCGTAATTTTGGCAAATTTCAGGCACGGATTGGTTTCTGCATTTTCCGACATGCATCCCTTCATTGCGATATGGCCATGGCCCATGGGAATGATATCAGGTTACTCAACTGATGCCAAAGTTTAGCGCTTTGATAAATTAGGCCACAGCAAGTAATTTTTATATATGACGCGCATTAACTTTCGCCTGATTTTAGAAAAAAAAAGAATTTTGTTGCTCTCTGACAGTGGTCAACATGCCGAAAATGGGCAAAGATGTCTGTTGCCATGCTGGAAGGTGGATTGCATATAAATAAAAAGAGGAGACAAGAGAGGAGACAAGAAAGAGAGGAGACAAGACAGGGCTCTGATTTAATGTTTTGTCTTTTTCTTTGATGCAGTGATGTATTTCATTCCTTTTATATGTGATGTTGGTTGTGTATATGTGACGTTCCCACTGAATCAAAACTATTTGTACAATGATTGAAAACGTTTATCTTTCAAAGCTGTTTCAGTAACAATAAATAATGGATGTTATAATACTAGTTGGCAGTAAACTTAGCACAATGTAGGTATCATTTCTTGTTCAACAAGGTTTATGATGTCAAAATTTGAAAATGTAGGACTCTCTTTTTTTGGCCCGCCTTGCTTTTTTCGCCCTATCGCATTCGATTTGGAGGATATCATCCATAAACTTTACTTGCTGTGGCCTTATGACATGTACAGAGATTATGACTCTACCTTGATAAAGTTGAGTAGCCTGCGGAGTCCCCAGGGAACTTCATACAGCCACTGAGACTGAGCTCTGGTCCACTCAGGTGCCGTGTACTGTGCCACGTCCCTGTCGTTCGTGTACCCTGGTGCCTACAGCAGAACATATACAATATAGTATGAATCTTCATTGCATATTCCTGCCCAGGTAGCTATATATATATCTATATATATATATATATATATATATATATATATATATATATATATATAGACTAAATGCATATGTGACCAAAGGTATCATGAAAGTCCATCTGTGTTGGTAGTAATCATAGTAAAACATTGAACTTCATTCCAACACACAGTTTACAGAGAGATCAAATTTTCAGCGACCACTGTTACCTTCACCATCACGGGAAGTCCTCTCTCGTCTGGGATGGAAGTCCGTGAGAAGTCTACATCGTCAACATAAAGCCATAGTGTATAGGTAGGACCTTGGACAATTCTTTACCACCATATATGCGAGGGGTGTTCATCCGGTATAGAGATGAAACCTCCAGATCCACCAGACAGAGCACTTTGGACAACCTCATCATACCGAGGCCCCAACTGGAAGTGTACAGGCGGTCACTGAGGTACTCGGGGGCGACTGTGTGGAACTCCTTGCTACCACATGTACGAGCAGCCCAGTCATTGGGAACATTTAGAAGTATGATAAGGAACTTGGACTGATAACGGACTGATGATTTACTATTTATTTTTGTATTATATTTTGATTTGCACTTTGTTTTGATTTTGTATTATATTTTGGTTTGATTTGTAATCCGTGACCCCGCCCTCACCCTCGACCTTGTTGAAAAGCGGTCATTTGTAACCGAACAAGCTTTCGAGTTTAAATAAAGGCTTACTTACTTCATCAGGATAATTAAGGTAGCAGAACACAGTATTCCTCCGCGACCCCCGGAGACGATGACGTAGGGATAAGAAATGTGTGCGACAAACAGCTTGCACCGCTTGTACACAGCCTAACGTGGATGACACCGGGACATACAAGTTACCGTATGGTACCATAATATGTCGGCTTTGATATCGCATAATTGAGATTAGGAAGGCTGCTCGATCGGCGTATAAATGCGCGTGACCTTTTCGCTGCCTGCCATGGTGAGTCGGCTGCAGTTCCGGTGCGCTCCGCAGGAGGCCATTTAAAAGAGGTCGGCATAATGTCAAAAAAACGATAACTTTTTACCTCCGGGTAGGGATGTATATCCCGAGCGCGGAGGTTTTGTGAGGGAAGACGAAAATTGCGTTCGCAGCCGTTTCTCGCGTTTGGGTGGACGGATATGTCTGGGACTTGGTATACGTTTTGCTGTTGGGCTGTAGATGGTGCACGTTGTTTTGGTTTTTTAGTATGTGTGTTTTAGTGCGTCAAAATGATGCGTTTTGAGAGCGTATGGACACCCCTTGTGTGTGAAAGTGGTTCTGTCTTCTGATTTTCGGCGTGTATTAAGTGTCGCAGGCGTCGTCCACATCTGGTGAGAGGGGTGTCAGGTATCGAGGAAAAATATTATCGCAGTTGTATCTCGCGTTGGGGTAGACGGGACCCATGGAAATCCAGCTCGGTACGCTGACTTTCGGGTACCGCGGGTTATTTTTATCTGGCTCGAACATCAAAAAGGGCGCATAGAAATTGTCCCGAAAATTCTTTTAGAGTCTAATCACCCTTTTTTTGATAGGATGTTGCTTAGTAGTCGTAGAAAAAACGTAGAAAGCAGCGAAAATGTGCCTCTTCGCTGATAAAGAAATTCTGTCACTCTGCCGGCGCGATATCGCTTATCCAATCGAAACGCAGGTCATGTGAGGTGAACCAATGAAAGTGTAGATCGCGCGCTGCTATTTACATATCAAAATGGTTCTGTACAGCGATGTGGAGAACACGTTTTTGCCAAGTTTTTTATCCCGGAATTTTCATAGTTTTGACTGATTTTTTTGGCACGCCGTGATTACGCTACAAATGACACACTAGAGGAGACAACAGATGAGTGATCATTTTACAATCGACAAGAACTTTTGATGAATGAAACAGGAATGAAACCTTGCTGATTGCGATTTGTTTTCGAAAATATTATTTTGTCTCGTGTTTGTAACGTTCGCTCAAAATGAGGTTCTAAGTTTTAACCGTAACATGAAAGATATGAACACGCTTCTGTGCATGTTTTGATGTGGGTTTTTTTGACGCGATTTGAACTAGTGTGGGATAAGTGGGGAGGGATGGCAGCCGCGGGGGGAAGTGTAGCGGCTTGATAAATTTTCGAGAGCAGGTTCCGCGCAATGGAGTTGATTTCTCACGCGGCCGTTTGTGTAGGTGTTTGTTTACATTATCGCTGGTCGCTGAGGGTCGGGCAGCCAGATTCGCCACGGGATGCCCCCTGTCCTTTCTATTTTTGGGCTCCAGTCGGCTAGGGGGATTAGTGATTTCACAGATCATTTAGCCAATTACAAACATTTCGAAACTTTACGAAAAATTGGTATTCGCGTGAACACACACACACACAGATACCATTCACTAATTTAAAGAACAGTCCCAACATGCACCCAACATTCTGCAACATACATTACAATACCCGGAGGTACAAAATCTACGATTTTCCTTGTTGTACTTTTTTGTTATTTTGTACATCGTACCCTATATTTGAACATATTTGTTTCTCGTGCTTTTCTATGGTACCCTACTGTATTTTTATCCGAGTCGATGTCAGTCACTTTCCCGTCACTTAACTATAGAAATCCCCATAGGCGAAAAACTGTGTTCTGCTACCTTAATGACCAATCACTTCACAACGTGATCTCGCGAGAGTTAATCGGTGATCACGAGAGATCACGTTGTGAAGTGATTGGTCATTTATTATCCTGATGAAGGCGACAGTGGTCGCTGAAAATTTTATCTCTCTGTAAACTGTGAGTTGGAATAAAGTTCAATGTTTTACTGTGGCCAAAAGTAGTCTAGAGGATATAAAACATGGAGTAGTATTGAATACTGACCCGCTACACTCTAATGCTAAGTGCTAAAAGTCTATACAACAATACAATATACTAATCATCTACTGTTAGTCGCCGTTTCTTCCCTCTTTCTGAAACATTTGGAGACAAAAATACATAATATGTCCACTATACATTAATTCCTACATGGCATTTTAAAAGTGTCCTGCTTTGACATTTTCTTACATATCTTGTGTAATTGTGAAGTTTCGAAACGCGCTTGGCGTTCATCTTCATATAATGTTCAGTCGAGTAAATGTATCTCGTTTTCAGCCTGCCGGATTCTAGTACTAATGCGAAGTTCACACATGGCTTTGCGATGTTAGAAGGTTTTTTTTTCAATATTAGAAATCAGGGATTTCAAACATCCGCGGACTTCCAGTTTAATTCCATACTTATTCCCATATCTCAGCAACCTTACATCTAGATGGGCTAATATCGTAAACTATAGGTAAAAATGATGGAAGACATACAGTATATGTAGTGGCCATCGAGGGCCCCTAGGGGATTAATCCAATTCTGCAGAATTCCCCAGTCCCCAGAATTCTACAGATTCAATGGCTGGCTCCAGTTCCCAGAGTTCTCCAGAATCTGGCTTAAGCTTGTTCTCATAATTCTTACATCATTTTTACCTATAGTTTACGATATCAACCCATCTAGATGTAAGGTTGCTGAGATATGGGAATTAGTCCGGAATTAAACTGGAAGTCCAGAGTAAATACACTAGAGGCTGTTCTACACACATACCGCGCCGACGACCACGTTATCCTCTATGATCCGTGTGGTGTAGTGGTTCAGGCCGAAGAAGTCGGAGGTTCCTCTGATGAAGTTGACCTCCTCTTGTGTGAACTGTGGCAGGCGAGACTCCCGCAGACCCTCCGCCTGGCTCTTCGCTAGCATCTGCGGGAAATATTATATAATATAATGTATAGTCAGTATAACCGCCTTTCCGCGTAACACACCAGCTTCGCGGGCACGCGGCGCGGCGGCAGCTGGCTACACTTAACAATGCCTCTACCACTGTACTAGGTGACAGCGAGTTCCACTCTGCGATAGTTCTAGGAAAGAATGAATTCATGAACGCCTCAATCCTTGGTTGATAACTCTGGTACTTGAAGGTATAGCTAGCTATTTCTTGTTCTCTTCTGGGTTGGTATTAGGTACTTAGTGATTGGGACGTCCACCAGTTTATTAGTCATCATGCATAGTCTGGACATTTTTCTTCTGTCTTCCAGTGACACAAACTTTATTAGACCACAGCAAGTAAAATTTTATAGATGACATCTGCCACAGACTCCAAATCTAACGCGATAGGGCGAAAAAAACAAGGCGGGCCAAAAAAAAGATTCCTACAGTTTCAAATTCGCTTTAATTCACAATTAAGCTTGTTTAACAAGAAATGACACCTATATCGTGCTATGTGTAGAGTCAATTCCGCGTCACCGAGTGGGTTGTTATTGTCATTATTTAGAAATGTTTTGAATTCTTTGTAATTGTTTGTCTATGAAATTTCATTATTTGGAAATATTTTGAACATCTTGTCAATATTCTAAATAATTCCCTGGTTTTCTAAAACGTTTGAAATATTCCTGATGTGGAATATGACATTTCCAATAGTTTCTAAATATTTCTAACAGCACTCTACCATTTTTTTACCATTATTTCGAATTATTTCTAACATTTTGTAAATAGGTCAGTGGGATGGGAAGGAAGTAATTCACACATCCCTGTGAAGTACAGGGTAGACTGCCTGGGTGTCAGGCATTGATGCCTTACAACAAAAGAGCCACCAGTGTCCAACAGTGAAATCTAAAAATATACAGAAGAATACAGAAGAGTAGGATTAGCACCTACTTTTATGGGGGCAATTACCCACATCTACCATTTTTCATTTGTTTGAAATAGTTCTAAATATTTCGAATAGTGAAAGAAACAAATGGGTAGTTCAAATTTATTCTAAATAAAGACATCTTTGTACAGTCACTTTCAAAATGTTTCAGAAATATATAAATGAATTCAAATATATTCAAATTTTCATTTTCAAAATTTTGAAAAATTTAGAACTTTTGTTACTAGGGTATTCTTTTCTTCTAAATAATTCAAACGTATTAGAAACATGGAGAAAAAAACCCTCTCGGTGACGCGGAAGACACAAAATCAGGCGAAAATTAATGCGCGCCCTGATGTCATCCACAAAAAATACTTGCCGTGGCCTTACCTGGTAAACAACCTGTGTAGCTCCCCTACGTGCTGTGTCCGCCGGCTACCCAGCAGCCATGGGCCGCCTAACTTATCTCACCTATACCCCGGGAACATTGACGAGCCCAGACATATTTCTGGCTCGTCTGGTAAACTTTAATCTAAAAGAATTAAATGTGTCATTTATCTATTTCGATTTTCTTGATCATTTTCCGCTTTTGTGTACAAAACTGGTGTGTTACGCCTAAAGTCGGTTTATCGGTTATGCGAAACAAACAAGCAAACAAACAATTTATTCACAGCTCGAGTTGCAGCGAATCTACCCGTATATTTCGTTAGATCTATAGGTGTATATTTCAACCGCAATAAATAGTTTATTTGACCTGGTGAGTGCCGTTGTGCGTTTTACATGTATATTGAAGCAGCCCATGTTTACACGCAGTTACTGAGTAACTTTCAGTTCTTTCTCATGTTCGCCGAGCGTTGTTAACGTTGTTAGACGTAATCTTCAACAGATCATAGGTCTGTCAAGGTCCGATACTAAATCTGCCTTATTATGGCTGAGATGTTGGTCAAATTCACCTTTTGCACAGTGACAAAATACCTATCTAGAATAACAGGTATTTTCAAAACAACATTCTATTAGGGATTGTCCACTACATGATTATATACGCACACAGCCGTTCAACCTCCTTTTTGCTTGCTCAACGGAATTTGTTACATTGTTACAAAAGATAAATTCAATTTCATTCTAGAAGGCAATAACCTTTACTAGCATTCGTTGATATATTTACCTATTTGTACACAGTAACAGTACTGTTACTGTGTACAAATAGGTAAATATATCAAAGAATGCTTAGACCTTATTAGACCAAGTAGTAAAAGTTAATCCATCTTTAGTCTTGTACGTAGCACAATTATTTTGTACCTACGTGTCTGTCTGTATGTCTAGTTAAGGGCCTTACGAAAGTCGCTGTACTTTTGTTGTGTCAACAATTAAAATTAAGTTCTTCTTCTATCTCTGGGTCTATGTTTTTACAGACATTTGGAAGAAAACAACGTTCAACTCACGGTCTCCTTCATGACCGCGGGATAGTCGCCTGTCTCGCTGTAGATGGGGTTTGCGAACCAGCCCAGGTAGAACTGCAGGAACCGGTCGGCGGCCATGACGTCTGCCGCCCGGTCAGGGTCCCGGGGTTCCGCCCAGTCCGAGTTGAGCGTGATGCTGACCTGTCCACTCTGGTCTGCTCTGAAGTTTCTATCGTAAGTGTGCCACGCACCTGCATGGGCCTGGCGCAGGAAAAAGTGTTGCTTCTTTTAATTTTTTTTGAAAAAACCTTATTCTACAAATCAACAGAAATAACCCAAGACAACAGTAAAATAAGTGTACACACACACTATATTAAAATAATATATTACATACTATCCATTGAAAGTTCTGTAACATATTTTCTGTAATGACTGAATGAATTATTGTGTTTTCGAGCAATGTTTCCTTTAATGGATCTGAGATGGTTGACAAAGGAAACAAATTTATGCATAGAATAATTGTGGTTTTTGACTGACGGTTTTTAGAAATGTATACTTTACTTGAAAAAGTGTTTACAATTACATGTACAATATTTTGGCGCCTTTCGACGTCGATGGACAAAATCGGCCACAAAAAGATTTTTAGAAAATTCAAAAAGTAGCTTGTGGACAAAGAGAACGTGTGATAAAGTGAGTATGATGTATAATCATTATTATACTAGTGCGTGCCCACTTAAATGTCTGCTTCACGCTAATATGCAGATAAAAGATTATACAAGGCATTGCATGAGGGATATCTGATAAACAATGATCACCATGCCAATAGTGCCTGCCGGCCTGCCTTAAAAAGAAAAGTAGCTCTTTGATTCTTGCATTGAAAGCTAAGAATTAACACGGTGGAATTAAACTAAATAGTTTGCGTCCAGAAAAGTAAGTACTTTAGTACCTTCAGTATGTTGTGTGCACAGAGGTAAGTAGAGTTGCGCTCGTCCTGTATGCCCGGAGCGTGCATTCCTAACCCGTACCCCACATAACACACCGCCCAGGGCTCGTTAAACGTCAGCCAGTACCTCACCCGGTCACCGAACGTCTGGAACGCGAACGTCGCGTAGTCGTTATAGTGTTGAACGACGCCCTCGCTCACCCACCCTCCGTACGTGTCTTGTACGTTCTGTGGAAGGTCCCAGTGGTAAAGCGTGACCATCGGAGTTACGCCGTTACGTACGAGCTCGTTGATCAGATTATTGTAGTAGTCAACCCCAGCTTGGTTGGGACCGCTTGTTGAGGTGCCATCGGGGAAGATGCGGGTCCACGAGAGAGAGAAGCGGTAGTACCGCAGACCCATGCCCGTGATGAGCTGCACGTCTTCTCGGTACTTGTTGTAGCTGTCACAGGCCACGTCTCCGGTGTCCCCGCGGTCTACCTTACCGGGTGTGTGGGAGAACCTGTCCCAGATGGACTCGCCTTTGCCGTCCGCGTCCCAGCCGCCCTCGATCTGGTAGGACGCCGTGGCCGTGCTCCAGATGAAGCCGTCGGGAAACCTGCCCGGTCTGAACGCGTCTCTGTTGTGGTCGTACGCGCCATAGTCGTACTGAGCCCCGCAAACAAGCCCAAGAAACAAAGACGTGGTCATCAATAGAATCAGCATCGTTCTTCACAACTTAGGCATCGTAGTTTGTATTCCGTTACAAGAGGGTACGCGTTTTGGTACCTATGTACTGCCCCACGATATCTCAGCTCAGGTATTTAAACAATATGCTCTGGGCCATGGGTCGTCTCAAGATATAAAAATTTCCAACTTCGATCACAATTCAGCATCGTATACTGTTTCATATTCTAGATTTTTACTTTCTTGCTATGCTATATTTAAACTGAACTGTTACCTTCCGTGCGCGTTTTTAATCATGGGATCATATTTGATAAATATTGTCTAGAGTTAATGTTGCTTCTCAAACGCTCCCCAGTCACGGTGGAGGTTAGAGTGGTCTGGTTAATGTTTACTGACTTAACTCCATGGTCTCGTTCGTAAAATGTCGTAAATTATCATCACACCACAGCAAGTAAATGTAAGGATGACATTCCCCGCAGACTTCAAATTTAAGTCAGAAGTGAAAAATAATGATATGAAAACAAAAGAGATGACCATTGACGCTTTATCATGACATACATTGTAGGAGCCAAAATTATACCTTTTTGGTAAAAATAACCAAAAGATGAATTTTTCAAGAACAAAAGAGTAGTCAACACTTAGTATCCAGTGTTGCATTGTAGTTGCATGTTTGTACCAAATTTCATACTCATTGCTTCAACTTTCATGGCACAGGGACCAAAAATATACATTTCTAGTCAAATATAGCAAGATAAGCCATGAAAAATCACTCCTGGGCAGAAATTGAAATGCCTCCATACTCACTCACATACTATAATATCCAGATTTGCTTAGGATTTCACTACATCTCTTCCAAGTTTGGCGCTTTTAGGCAAAAGTGCACAATTTTTCAGCTATGCCACTGGACTATATTAAACTACTAAGTAACTTTCTTCGGTTCCACGTAATGCCATACCTAAACATGACACCCCTAACTCATCCTAACCAGGAGCAAGGTCACCTGTGGTTGGCTGTGTTTGGGAGGCGACTGTTTGGCTGTTACAAAATGTTTAAAACATTCAACAGGAGGTTCTGCCTTGGTTGACAGGGAGTAAGTTTTCAGGGATCAAATTTGACTCAAAGTTTACTTGTATCGAAAGGTAGGCATGGTCCAAATCTGGTCAGACTGCTCCCAAGCTTCAGCCAAATCTTGGTTGGTTGGTGGTCGGGTAAAGGTTCTGAATGTGTGACAGGGGCATTCATATGTATGTTGGAGAAAGAATATTGAAAAAGCAAATCATACAAATAAGCACCAAGACACACGCGGGTGAAGACTAAAGAATTTTTACTGAATCTATGGTTCAGAATTATACAAAGTGACATGTAAACACTGATCATGTTACAATCAGAATCAAAATACGCCTTACCAGACCTGGCTTTTTCACTACATACTCGAAGCCTGTGGCAATCCGCACAGTACAGTGCTGAAATCCCTCCCATGTCTACAATTTCTCCCATCTTCTTTCCAAAGGCGACAAAAACGTCACAGGTAGTCTTTGAATCTAGAATACGTACATACAATGTACGATTGCCACTACCCAAAAAAATAAACTGACAATACAGCACTGATAGATATAACTATAACGTGATCCAACTACCTAAAGAGCTAGTACAATACAGCTGTCCAAGTTTACAGGACTCTTGTACAATATGTTCAGAGCCTTGCTGGGTGTACCACGCTGTACACGCCACAGCAAGACCTCCTCAACTTTAAATATTTATCATCAAGGGAGAATCAATGGCGCAATATTAATAGCGAGATGCCTCCAAAATGCTTTCCTGTGCTACCGTCAATGCAATATTCAATATCGGCTTCGACCGCGGTGAGACGGGTGAACGAGAGGGAAATAATGGCGAGCGAGGAAAGCACGGCGACCGACGCTATCTCCGACTAGATCAGGTCGGCAACATTCATGGGCATCTCCTCCACCTGGGTATTGTAGTACTGCTCAATGTCCTTCAGACAACGACAATCCTCCATTGTCATAAAGTTGATGGCCACGCCCTTGCGGCCGAAACGACCACCTCGTCCAATCCTGGAGCGGGAAACAAAAGCAGGTTTTAGTCAACGTTCCAAGGTCAGTAAGTTGTATTTTTAAGATGAAACAAAGGCAGGAAGTTCAGAACGTTGGGACCCAGTTTTTCAACACCGGTTTTCAGACCCGAAAGATGATGGAAGCATCATAACTTCCTGCAGTTATTCAGCATGAGCAAAGACATTTATCAAACTATCGTCTACAACTCAGACATGATTTGTTTTATTTATCAACATTATCAAACATACCCTTAGACAAAACAAAGAATATCTTTTGTCCATAATAACATATCATCTAAAGTACATGATTTTTACATGTGCATGTAGTATAGTAATATATGAGTCAGTGTGAAACAGATGCTGATTTACCTGTGAATATAGTTTTCTCTGTTTGTTGGCAAGTCATAGTTAATGACCAGGGAAACCTGCTGTACGTCGATACCACGGGCCTGGAAGGACAAAAAGTCATGGAGTCAACAACTCGGCATACAGTGTACGATCCAGTAAAATAATGCTAACGGTAAACCCTACCAATGCCACAACATTACTACATCTCAACAACAACATTTGAGGTTCCCAAACCTTCAGGAAAAGTTTTGGTTTTTGTCAATGTACTGGAACTGTGGGTGGAGGGAATTGTATCGGGTATTAGTACTATTACACCACTTCCTGAATTTCTCCACTTACTGCCCACTTACTCCCACCTGACACATGCTGGTTCACTTTCAGGCTTGAGTACCTTGTCGATCAGCTGTAAAATCATCTCCCACCCACTATACTACCAGAGCAATTAGGACCAACAAGAGGTACAAACTTACAACCAAACCACACAAAACAATACCTACTTTATACCTGGAAAAAAACTATCAATTTTGAGTCCACTTTCAGGCTTGATTTCCCAATCAATCAATAGTCAAAATCACCTCCCACCCTCCCACACAGAGCTATTGGGACTCACAGGGACACCATCTCACAACCCGAGACAATGTATCTTCTAAACTAGAACGTAATGATCGACTTTTGAGTCCACTCACCAGCAGGTCAGTAGTGATGAGAACACGGCTGGATCCAGAGCGGAACTCGCGCATGATGAGGTCCCGCTCGCGCTGGTCCATGTCGCCGTGCATGGCGGACACCGTGAAGTCCCGGCCGGACATCTTCTCTGTCAGCCAGTCCACTTTCCGCCGCGTGTTGCAGAAGATGACAGCTTGGGTGATGGTGAGGGTCTCGTACAAGTCACACAGGGTGTCCAACTTCCATTCCTAGAACAGAACAACATAACAGCAAACTGTCAAAACAAGAGCTACCAGACGCTGAATTTAAGTTCAAAATGGGAACTCCAGATGTCTTAGGGACAACTGCGGTGTGGTAAATGTTGGTTAGGTTGAGGAATGAATCCATTCTAATTTATACTTGCACCAGATGAGTTTTACCTAGACTACAGTTTCTTTGACTTTTAGTTTATCAGAAAACTGAAAATATTGGAGAAAAATGTTCCTTGTTGCACTATTTAACTTCAGTAAGTTCTCTATCTTCAATGATGTTACTTTGAAGAATGAAAGGCAGCTTTTGACCACTGCTGGTATATGTCTCTGTAGTGTCTGGAGTTGGTTTTGTCATGGACCAGTGCAGGTTAGGTGCAGGTAGACATCACAAATTCCTGCACAGCTCCAATTTTACCTGCACTAACCTGCATATACCCAGTACATGGACCAGTGCAGGTTAGGTGCAGGTAGACATCACAAATTCCTGCACAGCTCCAATTTTACCTGCACTAACCTGCATATACCCAGTACATGGACCTGTGCAGGTTAGGTGCAGGTAGACATCACAAATTCCTGCACAGCCCCAATCTAACACTCACAAATCTGCATAAACAGGTGTTTTCTTCAAGCCTTGCTAAATTTAAAAATAGTATAGAACTTCTGTCCCCAACCATATTGTTTGGAGGAATTCCTTCCAGTAAAAAGACTAACAGACTGATTGTAGCACCACCTATTGAGGAGTAGGCCAGTGTGGCCGCAGCCTGACCCCCCCTCACCCACGGCCATGCAGTTCTCTCCTTCCGTTGACGGCCGCCACTGTCAAGGGATGCTTCAGTGGGGTGCTTTTAGGAAGGTTTTCTATAGGTTCTCTTTTTGATATAGAAAGCATCTGATAGCTGACAAATTTAAAATACAAGAAAAAAAATCACTACACCAAAAGGCTATTAATACCAATGAAGAAAGCATCCAAAACTATGCTCCTTTCAATCTCAACAGTCAGTGTATAGCTGGACAGCACTTTTGGACACTCACCTCACGTTCCACATTGATGTAAAACTG